CAGCTGCCCAACGCATAAATAGAACTGTGGCAAGGAAAAAATAAAACACGATGGAAATAGTGAGAAGCCTCTACATCACCATCCATGCATCCTGTGTTCCCAGCCTCGCCTCAACTGCAACCCTTTTGTACTTCTTCCACTAAAGATGTAGGGCATCTTCTGTTGGGTCCTGCAGAGCATTTTAAATCAAAAGTCAAATTTATGTAAAGAAGAGAATTTTTTACAGCTAGATGATCAGAACTCTTCCCAATCTAGCAACCAATTTGTCTAACCTAACCCTGTCCTCATGGCTAAAGGAGATGATTAGAACATGGTCATCGCAGATCCAGAAAATTGGCCAGGTTGTACAATGACATTTTTTGAAGCAAAATGCTGACACAAAATCAATCAGTGCACAAAAAGGCAAAGGCCTCCTCTTAACAAAAAGGCAAAGGATACATCAAGAAGTAAATTTTCTGGTCAAGTGCTAGTCAGAAGAAGTTAGATTTGTTTAGTGAAGCCGGTAAGAGAAGTGATGTCAGATCTCAGGCCGGCAGGAGTTAGCAGCCTCCATTATACATAAGGAGGCAATCGATTTTTTTTTAGATTTTACCGGGTTAGTTAGTCAGTACGTGAGCCTCCATATGTATATTCAGCGTCAGATGAATAGTTTGGTTATAGTACTCCATTGTATGTACATGTATACTTGGTCCCAAACTCCCAGTCAAGATTTTAAATTATCCTTAGCCGTCCCATGGAACTTGACTTTGAATAATGGACGGAGGAGGTTGTGCTGGAACTTGACTTTGTTCCATGAACTACTTTGCTAGGGTTTAAATGTATGTTTTTTCCAGAAAAATAATCCACCAATGGACATACGTTACGTGCCAGTCATTCGTCCATCTATATAAGGCCACGGAGGGTCTACGGTAACTACACACCTGCTGCAAGCAAACCAAGCTTGCTTCGCCATCAGAACGTACACTCTTGCAGTGCGTCTTCCCAGCAGTGAAGTGAATCGTATGGCTCCTGCAGCTAATGGCTCGCACGAGGACGAGGATGTGGCTGACGTGCACAAGCCCCGGCCTTACACCCCTAGCCCCTGGGGTGACTTCTTCCTCAACCACAACTCATGCACTCAATCACAGGTAATTACCAATTTGTTTTCTTACTTTCTATAACTCATCCAAAAGTTCGAACTGATGAAGAGAGACCGATAAAAAAAAATTTAATACTGTGTTGGTAGGGTCTTGAACTCAAGACCTCTTGGCTCTTATACCATATTGAATTCATGTTCACGTCAACTCATTCAAAAGTCCGAACTGATGAAAAAAGGAGGACAATATATTTAAATATAGATGAACACCAATACAAGTCCTTAAATAGCAATTTTGTTACACATGCATGCTCCCACATCATTAAAGTTGTCGTAGCAATTGGATTTGCTTGCTTAGTCGACTAACTTATATCTGTTCTCGACAAGAGAGTTTCTCTATCATGCTACATGCTCTAGTGCAATTTGAATGGATTTTAAATCTCAATGCTTTAATTGTATATATTCAACTTTGTGTTAGGATTGTTATTTTTTCTGTAGAAATTCCTTACGTAGTTCAAATCTTAAAGATACGTGCAATGTATTTTCTAGTACTCCCTCCATTTTTTTATTTACGGCGCATATTAGTTTTGGTCAAATTAAGTCAAACTTAATAAACTTTGACAAAGTTTATAGACAAAAATATTAACATATAGGATAACAAATCAATACCATTAGATTCGTTTTTTAATATACTTTCACATTATATAGATTTGTTATTGTAAATGTTCATATTTTTTTATAAACTTGGTGAAACTTTACGAAGTTTGACTTCTATCAAATCTAATATCTAGATTAAATAAAAACAAAGGAGTACAAGAGATTCACTAGTATTCCCATGTGTACATCTGTGAATGTTTCCTTAACTTTTTGAAATGATCCTGAACCCGAGTGTGCACTCTTAGGACTTCGATATTTACAAGATGTCGTTTGTAAAGTTGGTATCCCAAAGGTACGTTGTGCTTTCTATGTAAATAGCTGTAGGGCAGTGGCCTTTTCTAGAAAATAAATTTCCAAGATGATAAATATTTCTCTATCTTGCAGTATTTGGCTATGAAGCACATGGCAACCATCAAGAAGGAACAAGTGAGAAATATCATCTTGGATGTGAAATCTTCCTCCGATTTAGTTGTGAAGATCGAGCTTATCGACACACTGGAACGCATAGGTGTGGCATATCACTACCGCGAAGATATCAATGAAATACTATGTGACATGGACGACGAACAGGGCATTGTTGACAACCTCCATATGACAGCGATGCGGTTCTACTTGTTGAGGAAGCATGGCTACCACATCTCTTCTGGTATAATTACCGACACGAACGTTAATTACAACATACATATTTTTAATAACAATTATTAGATATATGATATGTTTACTTGCTCACGCAGATGTGTTTCTGAAGTTTAGAGATGACAAGGGAAACTTTGCGAGCGATGATCTGGTCTCGTTGTTGGCATTGTACAATGCAGCGTATCTTAGGGTTCATGGGGAAGAAGTCCTTGATGACGCTATTGTTTTCAGCAAGAGCCGTCTACAATCTATGTTGGAACATCTAGACCCGCTGTTGGTAGAAGAGGTCCAGTGTACATTGGAAACACCCCATTTCAGGAGAGTTGAAAGAGTAGAAACAAGACGTTACATCCCGGTATATGAGAAGAAGGCTACTCGAGATGAGTGCATATTAGAGTTTGCTAAGTTGGATTTCAACATTTTGCAAACTCTTTATTGTGAGGAGTTGAAAGCTCTTACAATGTAAGAGAGTAACTAAAATATAAGTTCAAAATTGAGCAAGATAATTATTCTTTAAATACTATGTCATCTACTAATGCACATTTAATTATTACTTTGCAGTTGGTGGAATGGCATTCGATCACAGTCAAATCTACAATTTGCACGAGATAGGATGGTGGAGATGCATTTTTGGATGCTTGGAGTTGTCTATGAGCCGCAATATTCCTATACACGTATAATGCTGACAAAATTGGTCATGTTTGTGTCATTATTTGATGACCTCTATGACAACTATAGCACCACTGAAGAAAGCAACATCTTCACTGCAGCCATGGAAAGGTACATTCACCTCTTGTTTTTTCATATAATATTTATCGATCTTGCACAACAAATGGAAAGCCTAACATTAAGTCACACAAATGGAATTCCCTGACAAAATGTTGTTAGCAAAAGCTCCCACGTGCAATTATTTCACCAACATGATCTATAGCTAGAATAATTAGATCACATATAGTTCTCTTCTATGATTAACTTGACATGTAGCCCTTTTCTCAAAATTTTATATAGAAATAATATCGCATCAAACAATATTATATACCAAATTCTAGTGACTTATTTCCTACTAGGTACGTGAGATAAATTTATTAAAATATTATCTAAATTCTTAAGGTAATAGAGGCAACATTCCGTCTGCATGGCGCATTAGGTTTCTTCTTGACTTCAGCCTAATACATGATATGTGTCAATATTTTGATATAAGTATCACAAGGTTATTTAACGACACATTTTGAAGTCTCGACACTTTCAAGCACTTCCTATGTAGCCATACATGTTCTTGTTTTCCTCAATGGGTTTCCACGTATAAAATTAGCGGCCCAATTCTTGATCTTTACATTCCATTTGCCTATGTTTTCAAGAAATGGTCAGCAATATTTAATTATACAATATTTAATTAATAAGGCATCTAGGTAACAATATTCTGTGTGACGTGGCATAGATAAAAAGGCTTCCAAGTTATCAATCCAATAACCATTTTCATGTGTGGGTCACTAAAAAGAGTTTCATCAACTACACAAGTTATGTAGCCTTGCTTGCAATAATATAAATATTTGCCATTGCAATTTATATTCAACACTATTCAGTTCAGTATCATATATTTTATCTATATTTGCCCTAAACACACACTTTCTGAACCATAGGTGGGATGAGCAAGCCGTGGAGAAATTCCCAGCATACTTGAAGGCATTATACATCAACATATTTAACACTACAAATGTTATTGATGAAGAGTTGAAGCGTCAGAAAAACATGCATGCTGGATTGGCAAAAAATGGTTAGTGCTTCTAAAAAATGTACCAAATTATCCTTAACAATGAGCTATACCACAGAAGTAAATATATATAGTATTATATTTGCCCATTCAATGCTCAAGGTTTCAAACTTAGGTATTATTTATTAATCATTCCTCAAGTATGTATAAGTACTTTGAAGCAAATAATATGTAGCTAGCTCGAATGTCATAGATTTTGTGTCAAGAGATGGGGCAAATGCATCTATGTATTAGGTATGAGATTCATGTTGTTAGCGGTAAAATTTGAAATTCATGTGGAGGTTGGACAAGGAAATACAAATAGAAGTACTTTGTGAAAAAATTGTGCCTCCTAACTCTAATGGTTGCATAGGATAATTGATTGCTGGTTTTGGAAAGGAAGTTGGTGGAGACATGGGAACCTTAATTCATTAAATCAAAAGGAAGTTGGATACCATGCTTCGATCACAACTACAATAAATCTTCATTTTACTTTTATCTTATATAATACATCTAAAGCTACATATGAATTTTTTTGTCACTTTATTCATGTAGCACACAATTCAACAAATGTTATTAATTTTAAGATGGTTTAGTGTGTTAAACTATTGATTATATAGAAACATTAGTTTATGTTGGATTTATCTATGAATACAATTGTGTTTCAAAAGGAGAATATTTATGTTTATTGTGTCGGTATCCAATAGATCACACTGCAAAGGCAGTTTTGCAACAAACATTCTCCACACATTTCTACTTTATTTAACCTTAAAATTGCACCTTGTTTAGGTAATTGACATTGCCAAATGCTATCATGCGGAGGTTAAATGGCGGGATGAACACTACGTACCAACTAGTGTTGAAGAGCATCTACAAATTTCAATGCGCTCCAGCGCTTGTATGCAAATAATAAGCCTTGTGTTCATCTCAATGGGTGATATAACAACAAGGGTGGTTCTTGAGTGGGGTTTTACTTATCCAAAAATAATCAAATGTGTATGTATTATCGGCCGCATTGGAAATGACATGGTGTCACATGAGGTACCAACTCTCTCCATTTAAAACTTCTCGCATGTAAACCATATTTCTTTTATTTGTGGTGGTCCTAAATTAATTTAGATAGTAGTCACATAGTCCAACATGTGTGAATTAATTAAAGTATCACAATCATCCATATCTTCTTTGAGATCCTCGCCAAAGGGTAGGGCGTTCCTGGATTCTCATGCAGAGAGAGAGAGAGAGAGAGAGAGAGAGAGAGAGGAGGGGAGGGGAAGAGAAAACACAGATTGACACACTTTCTGAGGAACACTAGGACAAAAACCTTATTGAGGATTCAAGGATAACCGTGTAGCAACCTAACTAAACTACGAAAACGTACCACACAATAAATGAATCATACCAATGAAGCAACATGGTTGTCCATTAGAAGCACTTGTGCCTTGACGCCAGGCAACCGACACAACTGCATTCCAAGGGTTAGGGTGTCCACGAAGCTCTGCAATAGCACGTCCAAGTAGGGAAGCAAATCCCGTGGAGTTCATTTATTGGCAGCGGACTTCCATCCAAAGCCTAGCACAACTCCACCTCACCAAATCCTTGAGGGTGAGGATCCAACAACGCAGTAGCTACTAAGTCCGCCTCAAACCCAACTGAAAATAGTCGATGCCTCCACAAAGACACCCACGAGTGTCATCATCGCCAAAATCGCACCTACTTGCAAAGATGGAGCTTTTGGGAGGGAGTCTAGGACATGCTAGTTGGATCCAAGTACCGACTATCGACTCTGGCATGGCCACACTTAATTATAGCTCCACGACACCTCATCCCCTGGCGAGATTTAGCTATCATCTAACATAACCAGCTTGCCGCCGACAACAACATCCACTTCCCTATACCATGCTAGCTTACATCTATCCACTGCCAAAAACATCCTAAGTGTAGTGTCCAGCACCACATCAGATGTACACTGAAGCTTGAGTAGTTACACATCCCAAATGGAACACATCAAATCTAGAGCGGCACTGTTGCACTAGATTCATATAACAAGTGGTGGTTAAGCTGACCAAGCAACCCTCCACCATGGTCGCGCACCATACGCCCATCACACGACCTGCTATCTACCACTGTCTTGCTACTGAGAAACCTCCCATATCGAGACAAACTAGCTGTTTCCATACATTCGCCGGGAACCACGGGAACAACACGTCTACCCCACTATAGTGGCAACGACGGTGAGGGAGTGCATAGGTGGCGAGCTGGCAGCTAGGGTACTTGGGAGAGTCACATCATTAATATGAAAAAACCATTTCTTGTACATTGGCATATTTATACATACACACATGCATGCATGATGAAACGTCATCTAATTAATCATGTCATTTTTTAAGCGCGAACAACTATCAGAGCACATGGCATCCACTGTACAAACTTGTACAAAAGAGCATGGGATCACGGTGGTAGAAGCCAATGAGAAGCTTAAGGTAATAATTGAAGAAGCATGGATGGACATAGTCCACGAATGCCTCCATAGGGAACATCCAATGGCACTTTTAGAGAAGGCGACTGATCTTGCCCGGACAATGGATTTCATGTACAAGCGTGAAGATGCATACACCCTCTCGTTTAGCCTCAAAGAGACATTAACTTCACTTTACGTGAATTTCATATGAACCATTTTTCGTATTTTCTCGTTGAGAAAAAAGGTGGGACATGATATGATCCCACATCACCAACTACCATGCTATATATTTTCCATGTTCTTAGATAAAGTGAGGTGTACTACGTGTTGTATTGTTTGTGTGGGAACGACATATTTTGTAGCTACTGTGTAATTTTTCTTGTCTATAATTCTATATACAAGACATGCATGTATTGTTCAGTTACTTCAGATTGTGGTTTCTTACGGTGTATCAAGCCATGCATGCACCGCTTTATTCCACACAAACCTACTATATAAACATATTGATAATTCAATTCAGAGCCCAGGCTCATGTACACCCGATGAATAGTAATATAAAAATAAATAGTAAAAATATTCAAAAAAACCTGAAACTTTTTTGCATGCAAGATGCTTTAGTGCAGCAGGTGCGTGCAAAAATTCGTTATCAAACGACATTCAGGAGCTCGCGCCAAAAAAGACAAAATTGGCAATGAACAATGCATTTTTTCAAACTTCCTCACAGACCCCGAATTTGTCTTTTTTGCGACGAGCTCCTCGAATACCCAAACTCCACAAAAATTTGCATGGGCATCACGCATTCCACCATCTGCACTTGGGTGCAGAAATGCCGTGGGATTCTGTTACAACTCACAAAATATTATTTTCATAGTGTTATCGAATTGTGTCTACTTCAGTACCCAAACTGCTTGTGGCAAAAATTTGAAATATCATGTTTTTTGTCAGAATGAGAGATATAATATACCATTGGAGATGCCTGGACATGGAGATCACCTGTCATGTAGAATTTTTTTTCACAAAATCCTCACAGTTTATGAACAGTTTTGAAAAGAACATTTTTCCGTGTTCACTAACATGAATCGTATCTTTGACTCCATTTACATTCGGTTCTTCGGAACTATTACCATTTGGAACGGAATTGTATTGGCAGCAATTTTCGATGCAACAAGTTGGAGCTTGAATCAGACTGCTTATGCTAGTGAAGCTTTCTGATACAGCGGACCTTACCTGGGACCGACAGTGGCTGTTATTTCGAAGGGTAGAATCTAAAAAGTTTGACGAGGTTTCTTTCCACTGTTTGTACCGTGAGGAAAATGAGGTAACTGATTGCTTACCTACAATGCTCTTAGCACTAGATCTACTGCTCATAGAGTTTCTTACCTAAAAATGCTCTTAGCACTAATTCTACTACTCTATGAGTTTACCATCCTGTGAGGCCTTAACCATTCAGTTTCAGGAGACAGCGAGGCATGTCGATGGAGACACCTCTGAAGTAATTCAAGACCTATCGTAGTATGATATTTCTTTGCTTTTACAGGATTCAGTTTCAAGAGGTGGCGAGGAAGTTTGGGTCGTTGATGTGAGGCCTTGACCATTCAGTTTCAAGATGCGGCGAGGAACTTTGGCCTGTCGATGGATGAGCATTCAGGAATACAAGGATGAAAACTTACTTGCTGTCTTCTTTTGGTGTGAATTCTTATAATTTGCAACTCAAATCTGTTCAGACGTCCGGACTGCCATCTTAGTATGTCTTTGGCTATTGTGAATCGTGGTTTTGTATGAACTAGGAAACATGCCCGTGCATTGCAACGGGAAAGAAAAAAGCTTGTCCCTGGCATGATAAGCACAATGTTCTTGCTTCGCTATGGAGAAACCACGAGTTGTCATGAATCAAGGTTGCCTCGGTTCGGCAACTGTGTCGCGAGACACTCGATGGCAAAAACGGTGGTCAATTTACGGTAATGTTCTCTAGGATGATGGTTCAAGACAAGAGACGCGCCGCGCTGACGCGTGACCAGATCGGCGGGATCAAGACCACGATGGCAGCATGATGCGTGCCGCACATGCCATCGGTTGTGGCGTTTCTATTCCCACGACCTCCCTCCATCCTCTGCTTCCCAATCTTATCATCCTCGTCGTCATCTTCCTGATCACGGCCTCCAATAGCCTCATCTCCCGCTCCTTCCACTGGAGTTCCAGCCCTTGGCGCACCATGCCCGCAAGTGTGATCCGCAGCGTACATACAGGGAGGAGGTTTGAAGAAAGGAATAGTACATGATGGAGGTTTTCGAAGCGTAAATGAATTCCACCTATGGTGAGATGGTCTAAGCACCCTGTCTTTCTACAGGATCCTTGGTTGGATGAGTTGGTTCGTGAGTCCTCGCAGCCATGGTTCGAATCCTCTACGCATGCTAAATTTTTTTTGAGGGCCTGTAACGAAGGTACCAGACGAAACAAAAACCACAAGAGACCGGTAACGACCAGACGAAACGGATTAAAAAGGACGTACCAAAGCAAAACGATGACAAAAAAATTGGAGAAACAATCGTCCACCCTACACGTGAAAACCAATCTTTTTTCTAACTTTATTAGAAAGACATTCGATTAAAGACTAATGATTGGTTTGAGTAGATCGGTTATACATGTTTATGTGCACATATTACTTGTAATATGGTAGAGATGCAAAAAATATTGTTTGAATTGGGCACATGATGATGTGTGGAGCATGGTGGCCGATTGATCTTCCGAAAGCTGACGGCATGCATGGCAGTTGTGCTCGTCCAACACAGATGTGTGTGTGTTTTTTACTGCGAGCATATGCGCACATGCTTTTTAGTTGGGGCTCTTCTTTTTTAGCTTTAATTTTTTCGCATGTTTTTTGAAGTTATTTTTTAGGGTTGGTTTTTTAAGCTTTCAGGAGGCTGATTGATTGCACGATACATGCACATGTAGATGCGTATGTTCTTTTTTCTAACTGAGAGGAGGATACGTACATATGGTCAAGTGCGCGATACTTAAACACCAGGCTATCATTACTCCACTGGCTAGCGTTCTAAGCTTTGTTGTGTGAGCTCTTGGGTTTGAATCATCGTGGTGCAGTATTATTTTTGCGTCCGTCTGATTTTTTGGCGGAAACGAATTAGGGAGCAAAAAAGAAAACGTCCGACGGACGAAAAGGCCTGTGGGTCCACCGTTAACGATATTTTGTGGTGAAACAATCCATCCTTCAATATTAGGTAGAGATAGAGATTAGAATTGGTTCAACCGTTGAAAGCCCGTTAGGCTGGAGAAAGTTGGAACACACTGTAATACAAACAGAAGGCATTGCAGTTGCTGCGGGATTGGGTGTATCTTGGGACAGACCTATGCTTACTCTGGAGTGTGCTCCACGTTCTTGGTTTTTGTCAAGGATACGTCAAGAAAGACTATCAGGATCATAGATAGAAGATGCTAAGATGGCAACATTTCTTTACACATTACCCACGGCTGCACCAGCCAAGACACCGCATTTGGTTGGTTCGCAGTCGCACTGACAGATTTGCTATCCGTACGTGATGCGTCAATCAGAATTTGGTAGACACTTCCGTAGCCTTGCATTATAGCAAAAATAATGTCATTGTGGTTGATGTGAGCATTTTTCGGTAACATTGATGGATATAAATATTCCTGCGTCGTGGGGCAAAAGAAAAATTCGTACATCAACCAGTGGGAGACGCTGAAAGTTGGAGAGGTAAAATAACAGACGACCTGATGATCCTTGTGCCCTACTACCAAGCAAAAGACATCTTCAGTACGATCAATGATGCACGCACGCATATGTCTCTCCAAGCAACAGAAGGATAAATGTTCTAAACAAATAGAAGGATAATTAACTTCCGAAAATTTAGTTAGTTTGTCTGATGTAAGTTGAGAGAAGAAGACAGGAAAAATAAAATATGGATGAAAAAGGGAATAATTGGCTTCGCCCGGGTTTGAACCGGAGACCTTCAGTGTGTTAGAAGGACGTGATAACCAACTACACCACGAAACCAACTTTGAATTTATTTGACTTACAGTTTAGTTGTTTATCTTACTGTCATCACCTCGTTTTTTTCAGTTGAGAAACTAGCCCTAATTACATGGCTGTGTTACAATGAATACCAGCACCTTCTGACAGATTTATATGAACTAAACATGGCTTCCTTCAACAGTTCAGCTAACGAAGCCGCAAACCGCATGGGTCTTTCTGATACTGCCAAAACATATCCAGTTTTTTTGTAAGTTCATGACGTTTTCTTCTCAAAACATGCAACGTTAGGACTTTATTTGGAGAAACCTGTTGCATATGGTCAGCTGCAAGTCTATGTATCTCTGTGAGTTACATGAACTTTTGGACCTTACTATATATATATAAGTAGGTTTAATCATAACTTTAGAGGATGCCACACCTGCCAACACATGGGTCGGGTAGCCATGTCGGCCACAAATGGGGCCCACACAGCCTTCCACATAGGATGTGGCCAACCCACATGGGCCCCGCAAAGGGACATAGGGTCCCTCCATTCGCCGCATGGTCTACCTATGCCCCTGGTCGGTGACCCAATTATCGTGTAATTCTTCACTGCTCACACTTCGTGATCCGAAACGAAAGTGTCTGCAGCCCTGCGTCGGCACCCCACTGTAGGGGAAATTCGCCGCCTTCCTCATGGACCATTGATTCGCCGCTCCCATGATAAGTTGTGAGCAGCCCATCTCCTGGACTACAGGTTTGTCACACTATCTATATAGCATCTTCTCTCATGAACCTATAAAAAGATAGCTTTCCTGCTAGGTACAAATCGTTGCACTTGGGGTCCCAATGTAAGCAAGTAGACTCATTCCTATCTTCCTTAGTGTATTTCCTATCAAATTTTGTGATGGCCCTTTTGTGAAGGGGTCTAACGGATTCTTTGCTGTTTGTGATATCACTCTAGAGTCTCTTGATTTCTTAGCATATTTCAGTCTTCTCTTCGAATGCATTGAGGACTTCATATTATCCTTAGAACTATTCAATTTGACAGTTACATTTTGATAGTCGTGAGGATGGCCAAAATTGGTTTCTCAACCACCGGCATGTCTATAAAAAACTCATGAAGTTATTCCACTTCAACGGTGGTTCTATCCAATGTTGTGAGTTCAGCTTCCACTCTTGACCTCACTAAGATGGTTTACTTACCTGCCTAAACAAATGGC